AAAAAAAAAAAAAAACAAGGTCGAAGGCGTTGAAGCGAAAAGTGAGAACTAAAAGAGCATGCTTCTTTAAAACGAAGCACACAATGTATTGAAAATATGAAATATATCAAACATATATGAATTTAGTACTATAATAAAATTGCAATTAAAATAGCTAATTTCACTATCCAATATACGATAATGCAGGTATTAATTCAATTACACAAAACTAAGACTTAAAGAGCTGACCGCTTATTGTTGGGATCACTTTGCGCATCATTGTTTGAAGCGCACTCTTCTGTGAAGCACATTGCTTCACCCATGAAGCAATAACCCCTCGCTGTGCATCACTTGATCGCTTTAAGAGCCAAATGGATGGCTTCTTAACATTGTTTCTTCGCTACCTTTGCCTTTTGGGAACTGCCACACTACTGTATCAACTCATTTGTACTTCATTCTAGTCTCTCTCTTGCTGTGTTCACTACCACTACGGGGTTCTTCAACTATTGCATTCATTCCACCGTTGTTCGCTACTGCACCTGTGCAAAGGAAGGAGTTAAATTTATCTGAGGAATGCATTATTTTTAGCCTGTACCTACTACCTTCATTTATTTCTCTCCATCTCCTCTCAGAGTCACTCGCTAATTCTATTGTAGTTTACTTCTTTGCATTGGGCTCCAATACTGCTGGCTATTTGAGAAACATAGAAAGCTTTTATGCTCTTATACATAGTAAACCCTTCTTAGAGCTTAATTTAGCAATTTTTAAATGAATGCCCCTTCATTCCCCATCTACTACTATACTGTCATTTTGGATTCAGGGCCGAAGACTCTAATTTATCTCTCTATTTGGATGGTTTTTAATTGCTTTGTTATCCCAATATTATGTTTGCTGAGATGTTTTTGTCACTGCATAAAGTCTATTGGGATATCTTTTATATTTTATCGATCATGTTATTCAAATAGTTCTATATTTGTTTTCGAATGGATGTTCAATAAATGGCCACATTGCGGATACCATAAAAAAAAGGTAGCCTGGTGCACAAAGCATCCCACATTCACGCAGGGTTCGGGGAAGGGCCGCACCCCAAGGGGTGTGATGTAGACTTAGTGGCTGCTTCTACGGCTTGAACCCGTGACCTACAAGTTACGCGGAGACAACTTTACCGTTGCTCCAAGGCTTCCCTTCACTTTGCTGACACCATATCTTTAAGAATTCAATTTGTGTATTCTGAATGCTTAACTGATCGAAAATTGGAGAAACTTTTGTTAGTTGGTCTCTGGGGTACTTCACTTGTGAATTGAACAAGAATTGAACAAACTCTGGATGTGTATTCTGAAGTGTCCGGTACGGGTATGCTCAATTATAATAGCTCTTTTTGATGTATTTAGAAGGTTGAGGTACCATACCACTGTTACATCTGAACAAAAATGGGTATCAATGCTAATGAAAAATCTATGTAATAAAGTTAGGCCCCATTTATGTTTCCATAATATATAAATTATTTGACATATCCTGGCATTAAGTTTATTCCTCAGATTGGCTGCTTGGTTGCAGGCACTAATTGCTGATTTTGAAGTGTCAGAAGGGATATATTCTCGGGCAAGAATTGAAGAATCTGATTCGGTGTGCCTATGGCTTGGCGCAAATGTCATGTTGGAGTATTCATGTGAAGAGGTATCTGATTGGTTGTTGAAATGAGGCCCTTTTGTAGCCTTGAGTACTGGGATTTTATAGTGCTAATCGAGAGATATCATTGCATGTTTGATGGAGCAGGCTACCATCCTCCTTAAAAGAAATTTGGAAAATGCAAAAGCCAGCTTAGAAGTTCTGGTTGCGGATTTGCAATTTTTGAGGGATCAAGTGACAATTACTCAGGTCAGTTCTGCTTTAACTCTTATCTTGGACTGTAACTTAGGCAGTGTTTCGCTTGCAATCAATTGTCTCTAAATTCTAGTAATTAGTTTTTAATTACTTCTCACTTATGTTGCATATGCTAGGCAAGAAAATTGATTTGGTTTAAGCCCTCTGCCAAATAAATAATACTTTCTCCTTCCCAATTTATGTGACAGTCTTTCCTTTTTAGTCTGTCCCAAAGAAGAATGTCACCTTTCTTGTATTTAGAAACAATTAACTTCTCGTCTTGTCCGTGCCTAGTCAAACATTGCCACATAAATTGGGATTGGGATGGAGGGAGTAATAATTTTGCTTTGTGAATACCTGTGCATGTGCGTAATGCTGGAAGCAAGAGCAATTTCTGAAGCACAAGCTTTTAGTAGTTGCTAGTTTTGGTTCTTTTGTTTATTCTTCACATCTGCATAATTCCAGCCACCAGGTCTTTGCTTATTCTTTAAGCTGCTGTTTCTCAGGTCACGATTGCTCGAGTATACAACTGGGACGTGCATCAACGTAAACTTAAACCAGCTGCCAGTCCAAAAGAATCATGAGAAACATGTATGTTGGTTAATAGAAGTGGTGTGGTGCTCACTTTTGCTGCCAAGAGTACGATTCAGATCTTTCTTGTTCATCATTTTAGGTTGCTTCTTGACTCTCCTCTAGCAGGATCCTGAATTTGTTCAGACTGTCAATTGTTTTGCTTGTACCAATTTTGTAAGACAGCAAATATTTGTTGGTGAGTTCGTGCATTTACTAGATGGTTAGGATCTAAAATGTAATGATTCAATTGTTGCAAGGATTGTTAAATCATGGTATGACCATGTCTATGTTGTTTCTAACGGATTAACCTTGTTTGAGCCATTGTACTGCTGTATAATTTAAGCAAAACCAAGTCTTTGGAAGATGCTTCCTACCTTAAACTAGGAAAGAGCGAGATCTGTTTGAACATGTATCTGACTGCAGCTTTAGTCTGTAGAATGAGTCAGAGAATTCTTTAACTGCAACCAGCCTTATTCTCTTTTTTGATAAGCATGTATAATTCACCTGAGCAGCATGAAAGTGCCGATGATACAAAAGTACATAGGACTGTCTCTCTTCAACTCGAGGATTAAGTGAGTTCATCATTGTGTCATACAGTTTTTTAAACTGCACCAAAAAGCCAAAAACTGTAAACATCTAAACTTCTATCTTTCCTTCTGAGCATTTAGTGTTTCTTTCTCTCCGAACTTTGCAATGTATACAGAAGGTGGTAGTTCTAATAGAGAGTTCTATCGGCTTCCTATGTTTTTCCCTCGCCAGTTATTTATAAGCTTCCTTTAAGGGCCCTGCACTGCCCATGGTACTCCTAAGAGATGAAGGAATAGCTCCAGATTTGCTTTTAGCCCTTTCCATTTCTTGAAGACAAAGTAGAATCAAATGGTTTAATGCCTCAGTTGAATATTCACATATTAATACTATCTGCTACAAAATCTAATTCATTTGCAGAATATCCACAGTTAAACATGCTTCACGCATAACAGTCCTACCAAAGCAGATGACTTTTACAGGAGCTTTATACTTCTACAAGTGTTTACCACCAAAAGTTTGTAGAGAAATGACAGTAAAACCAATCCATTTTCCCCTTTCCAGTTCTGTAAGTAGAAGAAGAGCAAAGCTGCCCATTTCCCAATGATCATGGAAGTTCTCCTCAAGCCTATGTGCCTTAGGCCAGACAGAAAGGGGAAGGGGGAGTAATATACATATGAGTTGCCTTGACGTAAAGTTGTTGGTGGCACATGCTTGATTCTTGCTGTGAGTAGAAATGTTGTAATTGTACTCTGTAGCTTTTACTATTGATTGGATTCTGAAACAGATATGCATTTCTGTCCTTGGTTATTGCTGAATATTATCTGGCAGCGTGGTCTTTGAAATTGTCCAAAGTCATTTTCATTAAAGAAAAAAGGTGCATTGATGATAAGCAAAGCATTGAGACTCTGTTTAGCATGTTGTTTCACTAAGTAAATTAATGTTTTATTGTACTAATATAACCTATCTTCAGTAAGTAAAACAGTATTCTATACCAGCTGATTCTAATTTGAAGGCTAAGAGACAAATTCTTTGATACCTGTCATTGTTTCTGTTTTTCCTCTATTCTAATAGCAGCATGTTGTGGCTTGAGTTCTCACACACAGTCAAGATTATGTGCTTTGAGACAGCTTTATTTTAAGTATGTCTTTCTGCAACATCAGAAAACCCTGTCTGGTGCCATTGGGGGTTGGGTTGGCAATGCTGCCAATGCAGCTGAACTAACAGTATGTTTGACATTAGAATTTGAGAAAGGAGATTAATAAAAAGGTGGTTCTTGGCATTTGTGCCCACACATGGAGATGGACCCTCTTACCTTCTTTTTTATCTTGTACTACTACTACTACTACTTGATACTCTTTTTTGACTTAGTAGTAGTAACTGTCTATTACTTGGGATAGTGTGGGAAGGATCTTTGTAGGGCTTCAAAACTCCGCGTTGACAAATTGAATTGTAACATAGAACAACTTGCTTGGCATCAGACTTGAATACAATGCGCTCTGTGGTTTTCCATGATAGTGAAAATATATTCTACTGTGGTAATTAGATTTGGTTTTGGTTTTACTCTTGACAATTTAGGCACCTAAAGGTATGACCTGACGGTCAATAATATAGGTAAAAATCATGGGAAGACATAGTTCAAGTTCCAGCAGACACAAAAAATGCTAGGTGTTCTCCCATTTGCTATGTTTTGATTTGCAGAGTCAGCTGAGATCTGTGCTGGTGAGAGGTATCAAATACCCGATAGAAAGTCTAGGTATCAAATACCTGAGATCTGCCTCTATGCGCATGTTAACCAGCCTAAACACCACCATTATAAAAAAGAACAAAAATAGAAAAATTGGGTCACGGAAAAAAAAAAAAAAGGTTTCACAACAAGTTGAGTGTTTATATCACTTTTTTTTAAAAATATGTCAAAATTTCTCTATGAGAAAAAGCATACCTCGAGTCGTGTCATTTTTGGTTATCAGAAAATATTTTCGGTAGATTCAACATAAAATATAGTTTGTGTTTGAAAAACAAATACAGATGTTTTCAATTGCTAGTGAAAATATGCCATGACTGCATGCTACAGTAGTGGGTGCGGGTTTGGGCAAACCGAGTAACTTTTTTCGGAATCATGTATTTGTATTGAAATATATATTAAATCTATATAAATATATACTGCCGAACCTAGTAACTAAAGAGGTTTTGGCTCAACGGTAAGGTTTGTGGGTTTGATGGAAAAGATGGGGGTTCGATTCCTGCAGGAAATTAAATTCAATATAGTCCCCCGGCCGTGGACTGACCCCAATAACTATCTTTCTCATCTAAAAAATAAATTAAACTCATAAATATCTTCTTCTCTCACTTTACTACGCCAAAAGTTTCTATATATTATTATTACTATCAAATGTATTATGATAACCCTGCTAATTTCTGAAAAAATATCTCCCTTTTCGTTCTCCAACTTAGCAATTTTTCTGTAGTTCTTTGCAGGAGCTCTGACACACACACACACACACATTATATATATA